TGAAACGTAGGGAGGGTTTGTATGATACGACTGTTACAAGTAAAGAAACTTACAATTAATTAAACTTTGTCCAACTGTAATTTCGAACAATGTATTTCGTGGTTAAGTCGAATCTCTATCCTCATTATGTCTCATTATGGTAACATAATCAACAACTTTCTGACGAGACAAGACCGTCTCACCTTAGGGGTAAGTCGGCTTTTGCCTCTCGCAACAAGTAGGCTACAGAGTAGCTGTAGAACCTCTTCTACGCTCAACGGGAACGTAGTTCCTGAAAACTGCGCAATCATGATCCGACTTTTACTAAAGTAAGCTCATTTTGAAGTTTTTTGATTTATAACTAGCAGCGGTCGACCCTGCTCTTTATGTGGTGAGTCAGTTCGAGTCTGTTTGTCTGTCTGTCGCACCCGTGTCTCCGACTCTTGGCTCCGCAGCTTGTCTACGACGGCGTCACTAGTCAAATGTTAATATCGATGGGAAGATAATCAATCGGGTCTTCTGCGCATATGGAAAAAAAAGAAGAAAAAAAAATAAACTTTATTTTTTTGTTATATAATAAATCGAAAAAACGGTAATTTTTTTTTGCCAGAAGAAATGTTTGACATTACAGATCAAAACTGTCTATTATAATAACATACGGTTAAATTTGTTATTTTATAACTAAACAGAACAACAAGTAAGAATTCTCCGGCCAGAATAAAAAAAAAAAGAATATAAATGATAAACGAGTAAATTAGTTCGTTTTATTACTTAATAGGCTAATTACTTAACTTAACAATCTTAAGTGATATATCGGAGACGGTCGGGAGCAACCGTCTCATGTTTATAGAAAAGTCCGCTAAAGAATTGCTCACGAATCAAAACTTCAAAATTTAATTACATTTAGTACCTACTGACACTCTGCTAGTTGATTGTATCACTACACTCGTCACTCCTTAACGAGAAACACAACAGAACATTGTACGTCCGACGTTTCATTTCGTGTGCGCACCGCGTCACATAGAAAAGTTACAGTACTCTACGACGCGACTACGGTGGAACAGTCACATGTCTTCTCAACGTACTCCTACGCACTACTTCTAAATAGAACGACGTCTTGGTTCGTACCCAATCAGCTAATTGGATGACTACATCCCTAACACTACTCCGTAAGGCACAGGAGTCTTCAGAAGCCCTAAGGAAATCGTCTCGGACGCGATAGACGAACGCGTGGAATGATACGGAACCTAGACTCTCATGGGGTTTCTTAGAGTTTATATCAACAACTCATAGAGGTTTTTGTGCAACCTCGACCTAGGACCGGTTGGGAAAGTTGGTTCAAGTCTGTGACTTTAACGGACGTATACATCATCGCTGTAAGACAGTCGTCTACGATATATTACCATGCTCAACTCTCAAAAAAGGGTTAACTATCTACCGTAAAACCTGACATAACAAAATTGTCACAGTGCAATGAACCACGTAAAGTACAAACATATACAGATACATCAAGGAAGACGGCAGACGAAGGTATCGAGTTGACTTTACACAGTGTACGGAGTTAATAAAACAAAACATGGAACATTTGGCATATGAACAGAAGAACGAGAAGAAGCCAATGCTGATTGACATATATACATTTACAT